ATGAACCACCAAGACATTACGGAACCTTAAATGCACATTCCTAAGTGAATAAATTTTTTGTTTATATTATAGAAATCTTCTAAATCTATAAAAAGAAGCCAACCTGAAAAGACTACATACTGTATAATAACATTCTTGAAAAGGCAAAACTATGGAGACAGTAAAAAGATCAATGGTTGCTGTGAGTTGTGGGGAGGGAGGAACAGGAGCACAAAGGATTTTTAGGTAGTGAAACTATAGTATCATCTTGTGATACTATGAATTATGAATGATTGTTATTGTACACTTTTCAACATCCCTTGGAATGTACAAATCCAGTTATACTTAATGTAAACTATGGATTCAGGTGATAATGATGTGTCAATGTAGGTTCACAGATTATAACAAAGACCACTGTGATGCCATATGCTGATAATGGGGGAGACTGGACATGTGTGGGGACAGGAGATATATGGGAACTCTCTGTACTTTCACTCACTTTTACTATGAACCTAAAACTGCTCTAAAAAAAATAAATTCTATTTTTAAAAAAGGTTTAGTAACACTTTAGTTTTCAATATGTTCTGAAATGGTCTTCTTAAGGAAAGGAACGATATATACCCACATCTATAAAGAAATTATTACAATTAAATTGAATATGTAGTGTTTTTATCCTTCATTTTAAAGATAATTGAAAAAGGGAAGTGATCTAAGTATAGCTAGAACATTTCTAAAGCTCGGTCAGAGCTTCTATTTATATAAATTCTTATATTTGGGAATGAGTCACTAGATACAGTTATGATGCACTCTTGTTAAATGTACTTAACAGTTTAAGAACAGAGTAGAATTTGACAATTAGAAAAGATGCTTAGAAAATATTGGCCAAAGCCCCTCGTCCTGAGGAAGGAGACTGAGACAGAATTGCAGCTTCGCCCTGGTCCCAGGCTGTTTCATGGCAGGGAACGAGTTTTATGGCTGCTTCTCCATTACAAGAAGACAAAGTTGTGATAAAGTTCTTAAAATTCTGAGATGCTATTTTTTCCTTCTTCCGTTTATTTATTTCTTTAAAAGGACACGAATCCAATTAGTATATTTCTTTGGCTGATAAGCTTCACTCAAGCTCTGCCCATTTACTCATTTATTCTGCCCACTTGGTTTTTCCCAGAGGTTATTTAAAAAGACAATCATGTTTTAAGAATGAAAACAGCCAAAGGAAATGTTTTACCTTGAAAGTGAATATAAAACACACATGTTTATTGCTAAGTGAAGGCCATGCTCCCCACCCCACCACTGTTTGTGAGAATTTAGACTCTTGTTCAACCTTTTAGAGGCAAAAAATCCACCCTTGATGGGAGCAGCTATGACTCTGTGAAAGAAGCTACAAATAACATGCTGGGAAATTCAGCAGGCACTGCTATTATATCCTGTTTATACTGTCATTTTTCCTATCAGTAGGATATTATTTATACAGACCCCACCCATGAACTTCTTGTTTATCTTATTATAGATATCCTCTGAATCTATAAAAAGAAGTCTCTGCATTTGTTTCTGGAACAAGCACGTGTTATAATTTTGCACCTCACTACACTTTTTAATTTAGCATTTTCTTCTGCTGTGTATCACTTTTTCTCCTTTTAATCGCAGAGTTGAGTTATTTCATACATGAGAGTTGAACTTTACTGACTTTAATAGACTCCATTACAGGACAAAGATTCCAGACAACCACATCCTTAACTTTATTTTGGGGTAGATTCTAGCACGTAGATTCTTCTAATATACACTTGACTAATTTGTTTAAAGACAGAAAAATGTACCTATGTACTGACCAAGTACCCTAGTGAGTCAATTACAAGGACAAGTTCTCAATTACTCCATCTTTCTTCTTGAAGGAAATTCCTGCCCCTGAGTTTAGCCTGATGAATGGATGGGCTGGATAAAAATGTAGCACAATAAATACATGAGGAATACATGAATTCAGTAAGCTGACCATGAGACAATTAACCACCTGGTTATGAATCACCTTCATTCCCTGGCCTTATGTAAATAACTGAACTGAAGTAGATAAAAGAAAACTGTAAGTTCCTTAAGGGCAGAATTCATGCAGTATTTGTTGAACAAATAATTATTTCTGGAGAGGGAACATCACTGGACAAGTTATACTGGATACATTTTCACATGTACAGCTGTGTTAGCTTTACCAATGCTTGTTTTATCCTACAAAGCAGCACTACAGGCAGCTTGGTAAACGTGGTATCTTCAGAGACCATGTAGGTAGGCTCTTTGGGAATGTGTAAGAAATATCACTGCTTTTAAAGAACATTACTCTAAAATAGGGGTGGGCAAACTTTTTGACTCGAGGGCCACAATGGGTTCTTAAACTGGACCGGAGAGCCGGAACAAAAGCATGGATGGAGTGTTTGTGTGAACTAATATAAATTCAAAGTAAACATCATTACATAAAAGGGTACAGTCTTTTTTTTTTTTTTTAGTTTTATTCATTTCAAACGGGCCGGATCCGGCCCGCGGGCCGTAGTTTGCCCACGGCTGCTCTAAAATGTATAACTGAAATGAGGCTTAGTATCTCCAGATGGTGAACTAAGTCTAATTTCAGAATAAAGAGAGCTCCATGTGGGCTAAAGTAACCAAAGAAGGCAGAAAGAGGATAGCAACTAAGGTAAGGTTGATAAACAGCAATTGATAAGGTGAGGTGAGAAGGTGGAAGGTATCCTACACTCCAACAATGATTTGGGAGCATCTAGGTAAGCAAAATTCTGGAAATGGCAAGTAGTGAATTCAGCTAGGGAGTATACTGAATAGAAGATGGCAATAAAAAGAAGGCTGGAGTCAAATTATAAGGAGTTTCATTTTCAGTCAAAAGAGAACCATGAAAGATATCTGATCAAGGGAAAATGAACCCAAGCTTTCAAATTATGAATGAAGAAGAGGAAGAATAAGTTGGGGTGAGGCGGAAATGGGGGAAGAAGATTTTAACAGTACCAGATCATATAATTACAGTAGCCAAAGAAAGGTCCAAGTGATATAACAGGTAATAAATGTGTAAAACCATTATCACTTCGTGCTTTCATAAACAGGAGATGGCATCATGATGACTACTACTGAGTGGGGCATTGCTAAACAATGCCAATCCATTGAAGTTAATGTCAGGAAAGCATACCAATCTCCTAAAATAGTACTTCTCGAACCCAAATCACCCGGGGTTCTGGTTAAAATGTAAATTCTGATTCACGTTTCGGGTGATGCTCTCTACCTTTACATTTCTAACAAGCTCTCAATACTGCTGTCCATAGACTACATTTTGAATAGCAAGATGCTAAAACATTTTTCCAAAAAGCCAATATTTGATATACTATGTTTAATCCATTATAGTTTATCTAATGCTTTTACATATGCCTAGGAAATTCCTTTTAAAGGTATTTTATTATAATTTGCATCAATGCTGTATTGGTTTCAAAAGCTACTATTTTGAAAGTCCAAGATAATTCAAGATTCAGGGTATGCAAGATACTCAGAAATATTTCCGCCTGGACAAAATCAACTTTACATAATGCTGTTCTATTGCACTATATTTTTGTTATTCTGGCAAACTATATAGAAGATGCTATCGCCTCTAATCTTGGGGCTGAAGTAAAAGCCCTAAAAGACAGTACTCCACCTTTTCATAGTGCACAGCAGTGGACTTTGGTAAAACCCACTGAACATGACCTTACTGGGCCCTTACCACCATTTCTTAATCCTTGAAAATAAAGGTAACAATTTATTTTAAATATCCTACTGAAAAACACCTGAAGATTGCAAAAATTAAATTCACACATCATCCTGCTGTTTAAGATTTCTATACAAAAAGATATGCCTTGAACTGAAGTTTGTATTTTTTTTTTACCATAATCAGTATCATTTATAAAGCTATATTATTAATGTAATATATTACACATGTATACACTCAGACACACACACCCGTATTAAGATTGGCTGATCTTAGGTTAGATTCTTGGGACAAAATTTAAGACTTCTGAAATCTCAAGTTTCATTTTTAACCAAATTAATGGTCAATAACATCCTTTTAGGTAAACTGTCTTCAATATGTATCAATGTCTAGAGAATATATATAATATCTTAAAATTGGAAGGTACTATTGAAGATCAGATCCAATTATTTCATTATAGTGGGGAAGAACCTAAGGCACAGAGGCTGAAAGGGTCAAAGTCATGTAGCTGCTACTGGCATATTAAAAAAAAAGAAGGGGAGAAACAAATTACTTTTCACATCTATCAATATACAATGCATAATCATGTATTAATGACAAAATGTAGTTAAAAGAATTTCTGGTTACTCTCATGACTAAGGCATAGTTAGGTTTTATAAATCACTGATATCAAAGAAAGAAACACTACATACCAACAGAGAAAAAAACAGGCTACCCAAATTTAATAACTATAAAAAATGCAATCTGAATAGAGAATGACACATATACACCACATACTTGGGATGGGGCTGCGGTGGGTGGGTAATGGGATGGGATATAAAAAACAAAGAGAAGACACTGGTAACTCTTATCTTCTCAGTAATGGATTGAGAAAAGCTTTCACATACAGAAAAGTGGTTTAAAAACACAATAATTTCTTAATTGGTAAAACTGAGGATTAGATTTGGAGGACTGCAAAGCTTTTAAATATATGAAATGGAGGTAGCAGTTGGATGTGCATGTGTCATGAGCTCTGTCAAAGTTACAAGAAAACCAGAGAACCCTTTTTTGGCCATAAAGTAGGGTATTTTGTGCTTTTTAGAAATGCTATTAAAATTTACTAGCACACATTAAAAAGAAATCACTGGAGAAGTTCCATGATATCGGAGACAATGGGTTTTAAATCACTGGCATATATTATTGTGCCTAAATTGACAGATCTGCACTGCAATGCAGAAATGTGAGCAATAATCCAACATCTGCATCAGAAGGCAGAGACTAGACATGATTCCAGAATAAAGGGCTCTTCAGCTCTTACCTGTTACCTGTGCAACAACTGCTTGGGAAATCCTCCGATTGGCAAGAAAGGCTTTGATTTCCTCTTTTATCACACTGCTGTCCCTCCTAACAAAAACAGAAGACAAGACCAACAATGTATGTTGAAGGTAGAAATCCTCATCTTTGCTAAGAAAGGTGAAGCAGAGAGGTGGGGAGAACATAGAGAGAAAGGACACAAAAATAAACAGACCAAGCCTGTATGAAACATGAAATTAAAAGAAACCAAGAAACACCAATATTCAAGTTCTAAAACACCACACCATTAGACGGACGCTTTAGTGAATGCCACAGTAGATACGAGTTTCATACCAGAGGACGACTAATCTTATGCTGTGAATAATTCACATTAGGAACAAGGCTGCCACCTGGTATATATTAAGTTTCATTACTGTGGGATGAATACATCTTACACAGACAGAAATCCTAGAAAAATAAAAAGCAACAAGGACAAAAATCAGTTGTGAGTAGATTGTGGGTTCCCGTGTTAACTATGCAACTGCATAAATAAGATGCAGTTCATTTTAAAATCTTTGTTAAAGAATAGAAATCATCATTCTCACAACTGCTAAAATATTAGCCACTTTAAGAAAGGCTTTGCCTTTTAATTTGCCTTCTTTTCCTGTATATAAAAAAAATTTAAGTGGGGTTACATATAGAATTTTAATATAAAAAGGCACTTAATTTCCTGTTACATGTATTATACAGAATACTAAATACTTAAACCTACATTATTTTCTGCATCCTTGGGATCGCAAATTATAGACCTGATTTTTCCTCCACTAAGATTCCTTAATGATTTTTACTTATTTAAAAATTCAACAAATTCTTAAAAGACTAGACATTCACTAGAATGACAATAAATGGCAAGATTTCTGTTTCTCCACCAGAACAAACAGAATACGTAAAATTATACTTAAATTTACCAATTGTTCTTTGAATGTTTTATGTACAAGAAGATTACATAAATAGAACGCTAATTTTTGTTGATGCCCAAAAGTAACAGAGAGTAGTGGTAACTTATCATCTAATATAGTGGTTAGCAAACTATGGTCCTGGGCTAAATCTAGCCTCCTACCTAAAAATGGTATTCACAGATAAAAATTTGCAATTGACTTAATGGCAGAAAAACACTATCTTCAAACACTAATTAAAGCAAAATATCATCCCCTCCCCAATTCTATTTTTCTCACTAGTAGGCTTTAATTTTTAAAATGTATTTAATTATTATTCTATATTGAGTTTTGTTAATAAAAATGTGTGCCCAGCCCTGGCTGGTTTGGCTCAGTGGATAGAGTGTTGACCTGTGGACTGAAGGGTCTCGAGTCCGATTCCAGTCAAGGGCACATGCCTGGGTTTCAGGCTCGGTCCCCAGTGGGGGGCGTGCGGGAGGCAGCTAATCAATGATACTCTCTCATCATTGATGTTTCTATCTCTCTCTCCATCTCTTTTCCCTCTCTGAAATCAATAAAAATATATTTTTAATAAATAAATAAAATAAATAAAAATAAAAACATGTGCCCATTTGATTTCTCTCTTGTGTATAAATTTTGCCTCAATTTTGCCTCTGGTCCACTAAGTCTAAATGTTTACCATCTAGCCCTTACAGAAAGCTTCCTGACTCTTGACCTGAGACAAAGGGATCATGAAATCTTTACAAATCATTTTGTGAATGAACCACAAACTCTTCTTAAGAGTTCAAGTCCTTGGGGGTAGGGTGAGGTCAATGGGGGGGAAAGGAGACTTATGTAATACTTAAAACAATAATGAATTTAAATAAAAAAAAAAAAGAGTTCAAGTCTTTCTACAGATTATTTGGAGAAACAATAGTACCCTTTCCAAAAGGAATCAGCTGTGACTTAATTTACAGCAGATATTTTAGACCCTTGGTGAGGAAGGGCTATACACTCTATTAGCGGATTCCATGCTCCCTTTTCAGGAATTCTAGAAAAGAGAGATGACAGTAGAAACAGCTTCTAATCTGGAACTCTACCACACATTCCTAATCTACCAGTTGGAAATCCTAATAAAAAAGATTCCTAAAGGGAGGAAATAGAGAGTCAGCTGGCTAATCCAACACCCAAACTTTGTCAGACTGATCTAGATAATGGCTAGACTCCTTCCAAAATGCTTGCTATATATTTGAAATATTTCCTTGCCAAATATGCATTCTCATTTTATTTTAAAATTGTGAATGTGACAAAAGAGGCACAAATAAGTCAAACAAAAACTGCTGAGTAAAATACAAGTAACGTAGACTAAACAAGCTGTCAAATATCCATCAGTAATCAGCTGAGCAAGAGATAACTTCAGCAGTATCTATTTCAACTGGCTGATATATGTAAAACAACCAAATCATTTAGTTTCTGCAGAATTAATGTGAAAAAAATGTAAATAAAGCATTGTATTTCAATGTGTAGTGTCCTTCTTGGAAAATAAAACTTGAGTTTAAGAAAATATTTATTAGGGTAAATTTTAAAAATGTGCTTTTGTGGGGGGAAAAAGAGTATTTTCTTGGCCACTGATTTAAACTGGAATTTAAATCAATTTATTTTAAATCTAATTAACCTAGAGTAGACACTAAATCATAGAGTGGAGATAATACTTAATTACTCTAATGGGGAATATCCAGTTTGTGACATATTCACAGTCTTACCATATGATATTATTAAGAACGGCAGCAAGACAGCAGCCATTCACTTACACTCTCATAAACTATACTTTTAGATACTTGGCAAGTTTATAAGTACCCACAATGAGTCTTAAAAATCTCTTAACTGCTTTACCAGAGAGAATCTTTTTGAAATGAAAAATAAATTTAAGACTTGAAAGGTAAGGGCACACTTGGGTAAGTCATTTAATAAACCTTGGCCCTGGTTTCATCATCTGGCAAAAACAGAACACTAATACAGCTGTCACAAAGCTTTTGCTATTTTTCTCCAAGCACTGAAATTAAAATTAAATGAAATTTAATACTCAATGTGCATATAACGAAAATTTTTTCAATGTAAACATTTTGAAACTATAAACATACTACATGAACAATGACTATTATTTTATAAAACCTCAGAAAGAATTCCAGGAAAAGAAGAAAGAAATGATCGGCTATATAAGATTGAATTAAACATCTGTATTAGGTACTTTAAGGCACTGTGTAAAGATTTCTAGAAAGTCACTTTAGATATAAGCAGTGATGTGGTATTCAGTTAGTTTTACTTGGTTCCTTCAAAATAGCACAGCATTCAACTTTCTTTGTGCTCAATTCTTTTAAGTATTTCAAAGACTTCCACTCTTTTGGGGTGCCTATGTTATTTAAACTTTCACATATTCCCCCCTCATTCTCTCCTCATTCAGCCTTTAACAACCTCCCTCTCTTTCTGTACACATTGTACCCTGTGAAATCAAGTTCCTTGGTGTAAAAACTTTTGTTACTCCAATTCTAACTCTCTCATTTTCTCCCCAGTGATGGTGAACCTTTTGAGCTCGGCGTGTCAGCATTTTGAAAAACCCTAACTTAACTCTGGTGCTGTGTCACATTTAGAAATTTTTTGATATTTGCAACTATAGTAAAAAAAAGATTTATATTTCTGATATTTACTTTATATATTTAAATGCTATTTAACAAAAAAAAATCAACCAAAAAAATGAGTTCGCGTGTCACCTCTGACATGCGTGTCATAGGTTCACCATCAATGTCTATCCCTTACTTTCTCTCTTCATCTGAAATTTGACATTCTCTTTAAAGAGAATGAATCCCTTTTCCTCCCTTGTGTTATACAATCTCACACTCTTCATGATTTTTACTCCTCAGTTCTTATGGAAATAAAGTCATATGTAGGCTGATCTTTCTTTGATTCCATAGATTACTTCCAAAAGAAGCTACCGCTCAATTTGCATCTAACCACTTGAAGTCCGTGTCATCTCCTCCTACTGCCTTTTCCAAACACAGCCATGCTGGATTCACCTATCTGAGCAATTTCCACATGTGAGATGAAATTCTTCCTTTTCATCCTCCATTGCCATTATTTTTATAACTTGCTAAACTTTCCATTGTGATCTAGAGACATTAATATCTAAATGAACTAATCAGTAATGCCTCTTTTTGAAATCACCCTTTTTAAAGACACAATTTGATTGTCATCTATTCAGAGTTCTCCCTGATCCTCAGAGCTAAAAAAGATATTTTCTTCCAAAAGCATGTTATTATTTCAATTATACTACCCATATGCTAATATGTTACATGCTATTCTGTATTACAGTTGTTTATAAGCTAGCCTTCTCTCTCTTACTAGCCAAAAGAGTCCTTTAGCACAAAGATTGTCTTATTCATCATAGGGTTTGCAGATAATAGAGCTTAATTTGTTCAGTGAATGAACAAGTCTATAGTTGGAGATAAAAGGTTATAAAATAGAAAACCTGATCTAGATCATTTATAAAAGTTTTAAAATCTTAGTCTTAAATATGTTTCAACTTCCAAACCAGAATGGAGAAAAAGAGAAATTTATTCTAGCTCAAAATGACAATAATTTCTTTTCTAGGACAAAGAATATTAAAGAATGCATATTTAAAAGTGGAATGCTTTGAGATCTTCCATAGTCTCTTGTTTGATAAACACTACACATTCTTTAGCCCCTCCCCCTCTTAAAAGTAGTCTTTTAAAAAAATTTTATTGAATTTTTTTCAATTTTGGGGGGGTGATACTGATCAATATCATAGGCAGTCTTTTATCTCAAAGATTTCCAGAGATGGAAGACAGACTATTTCAAAGATGGAAAATATAATTGCATACAAAGTCTTTCACATTTAAATAAAACCCACTCCTTTTAATTTCCACTCATGGAGATAAACAAAACATAACTTTAAAATGTTTTAAAGATAACTTTAAAAGAAAAGCTACTTTATATGTATAAACAATATGGTAACTGAGTATTATTACTTATGGATCATAAGTACCCTACCTACACAAGGAAATACCCTATTGTTAGGGTTACAGGTAACCAACTCAGAATAAAGTCTGGGAATCTTGTATAAAATGCTAACATACATTATTATAACACTAAACTCATTTCAATTGTTACTTTATAATATATATACAACAGAACAGATACTTTAATAGATGTATACTATGATATTTGCAGAAATATATATACCTACATATAAATATATATATTAATAGATGCGTTTAAAAAATATTAATGTGAAATGGGTCATCATTCTAAAGTTAAGAGCTTTAAAGTCTTTCCTAAAATGTTATATTCAGCGATCTATTGAGAATTCATATTCTAAGTTTCCCATTCAGGTTTTTAACCCTGTTCAATTAAAAATTGAAAAAAAATAAGTTCCTTTATTTTTTATTGTTTCTTAACAAGTTGATCAGGCTTTGTTAAAATTTAATCAATTTCTAAAAAAAATTTTCTTTATGTATCTTGAAATTACTAAAAGTTAAGTTGTGTGGACACATGGGCTATGAAATTTGAAAAATACATCTTATAATTGAGTGCTATAGAAGTTGGGAAATGTGAGTATGCAAGAGATGAATTACTAATATACAGGGTGGGGCAAAAGTAGGTTTACAGTTGTTTGTATGGAAAATAGAATGATTAATAAATAATAATATAAGAATAAACCGTATTTTGCATACTCACAACTGTAAACCTAATTTTATCCAATGCTGTATATGATATACTAGTATGTAGAAATGCAGGCAGGAAGGCATTCAGGTACCAAGTAACTATTCTCCCCACCTAGAGACCACCAAATTCAATACACTAAAATATGACCATGGTGTTGTGCAATCAGCAAGGGCAGTGTAGCCCTAAATGAGCACATGACACTCAGAAAGATCTACTGTTCAAAAATTTCTCTAACATTCTACCAAATAAAAATTCATTTGTTTAGTAAGTGGCAAATATCATGGGAGTTGGGAAGGGGGACTTAGCCCATTAAGGCATTCGCACTTTGTCTTAAATTACATTAACCACTGTTCCTAAAATCTTATTGATATCTACAGACATCAAAAATTTATTTACAGAGGCAACAGACAAAAGCGGTACAATGGTAATAAAGACATGAGTTAGAATTCAGACTCTGCCACTAAAAATTTACCATGTTCTTGATCCAATTATTTAATTTTTGTGAATCTCAATTTCTCTGCTCCATCTCACAGCATGGTTGTAATGATTAAACTGAGAACAGACATGCAATAAACTTCTTCCTCCAACCTAATAACTGTTATTATCTGTAAACTTAAGAAAAATGAGCAGTGGGCACAAAAGAGGAATGTAGGCGTGGGAGGGCACAATGGCAGAGGACCACAGAGAACCAGAAGGTCAATGAAATCCCTAGATGATTAGAGAACACCAAAGTAATAGCTGTAAGAAATTGAAGCAGAGATAATGAAGAAAATAAAGTGTCCTAACTATGCAACAAAATGATAACATGTAAATTAAATGCTGATAACAATATACAAACATGTATATAATTAGTGATGAAACTTGAATGTATGTAATTGCAGGATGTAAGTACACATCTTAGTCATTGCTAAATAGATTTTCTGTTTATTCTGAAGACATATTTGAATTACAGTAAAATGTCAACCTACAAGCTAATAGTCAAGTTTTAGACCCTGGCCAATCTTCCAGAGCCTTCTGTTTAAAAGAAAGTTTTCCCAAACTTCTTGTTAGTCTTATATACGTATGGGAATTAACTGCCTTAACTCCAACCAAATTAACCAGTAACTATTTATATGGAACTCAAATCTTCCAGAACTTGTACTGCCAAATATACTACCCTTATTACATAGTCTAGCCCACCTGTAATCCTTTTAAGACAAAACACACCTTGCCTATTCTACCATTTACTATTCCCTTACCTTTAAATAAGGTCGTTATATTTCAAAAGAGAGGCTATCTTTTAAGGTTTTGCTCAAATTCATCATCCACTTAATAGATTATGCCCTCACCATGTACCAAGGACAGTTCAGATCCTAGAGACACAACAGTAGAAAACACATGATTGCTGCCCTCCAAGTGATCCAGGTCCAGTGTGAAACCATTTCTACCTGCCTCTGTTGAAAGTGAACTTCTTTTCTCAGTGTTTAAAACCCTAAGTGCTTTAACTTATCTTACAATAGATTACATTAAACATATATATGTGGCACCTATTGCTAAAATTACAACTTTAGCTTCTTAGGAGTAAAAACTGTATCTTTTTCTTCCAAAGAACACTACCTTTTATATAATAGGAGCTTAAAATTATTGTTTGAGTTATTGGAGGGGAAAACTTGAAACTGGATATATTCTGTATCATGATAAAATCACCTTATCCCTCAGAAAAAGTACTTACAATAAATTTAAGGAATAGAAAGTGTCTGTTAGCAATGCTGAAAATCTAGATATTACAACCATAAAGAGAAGGCTAACCTTTGCTTTGACAGAAAGAATGGAAAACACTTATCAAGTAGCAAAGTGATAGGGCTAAAGTTGAAAAGAGAAAATTTGAATTAAAACATAAAATTTAAAATTTTTCTTTCATCTCCAAAGTGGGCAGGGGGAAATCACAGTTCTTATAGGTAAGTAGCTGAAATACAGTTTATTACTTAAAATCAATATAAGAACAGACATTTTGGGGACTCTGAATAAGCAAAGGAACCAACCTCATTAATTCCTCCACTTTATCATCTACATCTAGGTCCTCTTCTGAGGCTTCAAAACTGTATGACCTCTGACCAATGCTGTTTACATGGTATCGAGTCGGTGACATCTTTCCATTGGATGTGGACAATCGCTCGTTATTCTCCCTCCCATTTTGATTGGTAGTGCAAGGCTGTGGGGAGGTATCATAACTGTTGCTAGGCGATGGGGACATTCCTGAATGCTGGGTCTGTGTGGAAGCTGTAGCTGTAGAGGAAGATGCTGGAACATTGTTGGTACTATTCCCATATGAACTTCCTCCATAGCTGGACCTTCTTCCAAACTTGTCACTATGCTCTTGATCAAGACGGTCCAAAGTTTCCAAGGCATGGAGGATTTCATGTTTAGTCATTCCAGTACGCCGAAGGCGCTGAAGCAGATCTATCTGTTCTATGGTAAATCTGGGTTCATCTGTATAGTGAGACATGGTTTCCAACAAACTGAAAAAATAAAAATAAAAAAATCAGTCCCTTTATTTACAATATCTATTAAAAAATCACTATAGAGAATGCCCAGAAGATGCTGTGCTTCTTCACTGAAAATGTTTAAGACATTACTATTATAATGACCCAAAATTTCCATTATGGCAGTAATACCAAAAAACAGATTAAGTAAATACACTATTAAATCCAGGCTATGTAATTTCTCATAGGTGTTTTTCCATCAAGTATACTATTCTGCATTAGAGTATTAATAGAAAGTTGCTGAAAAATAGATGTATGCTCTTGTTTTGCTAAATATCACAAAACTGACCTAGGAACTCTCTAAGTTCATTTACTGTAAACAAACTATTTGATATGCTAAACTCAAGCAAATACTAATAACCAGCAAAAATACTTACATAGAAAAGTAAGAGAAGTACCTAAAAAAAAACTTACTAAGCACCATTTTACCCACTATATAGTAATTTCATATTTTATCTCTGTAATGCATTCTGTTGATATCCTGAGAAATGGATCATTCATGGTTATAGCCAAACTGAACTATTCATTTTTCTCAGGAAATTGCTCCTACATTATGTTTTCTTTAACTAACACAAGATACTGTAGCCCATCAGAAAATGTTTCAGAGTTAATAACAATATAGTCTTGTGCCACAGCACTGGTCAACAATGGACCACATATACAATAGTATCCCAGAAGATTATCACCTACTGACATCGTAGCCATGGTAATAGCCTTTGTAATGTTGTGAAGCAATGCATTACTCCTGTGTTTGTGGTGATGCTGTGCAAACAAACCTACTGCCAGTCGTATAAAAATGTAGCGATACAACTATGTACAGTAGATAATGCCTGATAATGATGATAAACAACCATGTTACTGAGTTGTGTATTTACTATATTTTATTATTTTATCATTATTTTAGAGCATACTCTTTCTACTGATAAAAAAAGAAAGTTTACTGTAAACAGTATGCAGTATTACCACGGCAGCAGCTTCATACATCTCATGTTTACAGGGTTTCTTGAATGCATCATTTTCTCTTGTGCTGTTTGTACAGTAATATGCTGTACAGACTTGTAACCTAGGAGTAATAAGCTATCCCATACAGCCTAGGTGTATAGTAGCTATACCATCTAGGTTTGTGTAAGTTCATTCTACAATATTCACATAACAATGAAATCGCCTAATAACAAATTTCTCAGAATGTATCTCCATAATTGGCGCATGACTTTTACAAGTTCAAGAGAGTTGTTAAGTATCATCAAAAAAAACAAACACAAAAAACACCAAACCACGACTTTTCTATTTAACATTTTTTAAAGTGGTAATTTCTTCTATTTTTATTTTTATAGTTCTAGTGCCGAATTGTATACACAGGCTCTCAACTAAGTGTTTGCTGATAGAAATAAATGTCAAGACATTTTCTCATCCTTTCCAGGTAAACATACACTCTGGGCCAGGTCCGCTAAGCCACTGGAGATGTTCCTTCAACCCTCTACATTAAAAATTTTTTAAACATTCACATCTAAGAAGGCAATGAGCAAGAATTTCATATAATGTAATCTCACTTAATCCTTACAACAACCTTCTGTGATAGATTTTTTTTATTTTACTGTATATTGACTGATTGATTACTGAGGAAACTAAGGCTCAAAATGATTTGGAACCTTGTAAAAAGTCTGATTAAGAAGCAGAAGAAAGATTTAAACCTAGATCTTACTGACTCCAATATCATACGTCATTCTGCTTTCCAATATAGGCACTTACTGGAATCATGATTTGGGATTTGGTTACTGTACTCTTTTTTTTTTTTATATATATATATTTTTTAAATATATTTTATTGATTTTTTACAGAGAGGAAGGGAGAGAGATAGAGAGTTAGAAACATCGATGAGAGAGAAACATCGATCAGCTGCCTCCTGCACATCTCCCACTGGGGAAGTGCCCGCAACCCAGGTACATGCCCTTGACCGGAATCGAACCTGGGACCCTCCAGTCCGCAGGCCGATGCTCTATCCACTGAGCCAAACCGGCTTTGGCTACTGTACTCTTTTAAGTCTCCAATTAAAACCACTTAGATAAAACTGCTCTACTAACAGACTAGGGGTTCTAGTAAGTTTTTTATATTTAAAATCTTTGCTTCATCTAGAATTTATATTTACTTAATTAATGTGAATGGATTTGAGCTTTATTTTTCCCCCCAAAAGGATAGCTGGTTGTCCAATATGTTTTACTGAGTAATATGTTTCTTTTCTCGTAACATATTACTTATTTTTTATATACAAAATTTCCACACAAACTGTACCTAACTTTTAGATTCTCTATTATATTACATTGATTATTTTGTCTTTCAAATACTTCTAAAAATAAGCAGGCAGAAATCTAGAATTTTTATGTGAAATCATTCTAGTTTTAGAGATAGGCTCATTAAGATTAAAAACACACACACACACACACACACACACACACACAAAAAAAAAAAAGATTAAAAACACACATATTTTGTGGACTCAAAAGAACATGTTTCAGGCCATTTGTGACAATAGCTACAGTATCTGCTTTATACCTATATACATTATCTTATGCATTCTTGAATAATCATTAAAAGTCCTTATTTTCATGATTATTATTCTTTCTTGATAGTCTAGGTTTTTTCCTCCAGCCAGCCTATATAATAAAGGTAATATGCAAATTGACCATTACTCCAACACACAAGATGGCCGCCCCCATGTGGTCAAAGATGGCCAGCAGGGGAGGGCAGCTGTAGGTGATCAGGCCAGCAGGGGAGGGCAGTTATGGGCAACCAGGCCAGCAGAGGAGGGCAGTTAGGGGTGACCCAGCCTGTAGGGGAGGGCAGTTGGGAGCAACCGGGCCAGCATGGGAGGGCAGTTAGGGGTGACCCGGTCTGCAGGGGAAAGCAGTTGGGGCGACCAGGCCTGCAGGGGAGGACAGTTCGGGGGGACCAGGCCAGCAGAGGAGGGCAGTTAGGGGTGACTGGGCTGGCAGGGCAGGGCAGTTAGGGGTGACTCAGTCTGCAGGGGAAGGTAGCTGGAGGGGACCAGGCCTGCAGGGGAGGACAGTTGGGGGGGGACCAGGCCTGCAGGGGAGGGCAGTTGGGAGGGACAAGACCTGCAGGGGAGGGCAGTTGGGGGTGACCAGGCTGGCAAGGGAGGGCAGTTAGGGGTGACAAAGCCAGCAGGGGAGGGCAGTTAGGGGCAACCGGGCCAGCAGGGGAGGGCAGTTAGGGGCAATTGGGCCCACAGGGGAGCAGTTAGGCATCAATCAGGCTGGCAGGGGAGTGGTTAGGGGGTGATCAGGCTGGTGGGCAGAAGTGGTTAGGGGCAATCAGGCAGTCAAGCAGTTGAGCGGCTGGGAGCCAGCAGTCCCGGATTGTGAGATGGATGTCCGCCTGCTAGATATCCCTCGAGGGGTCCCAGCACTAGGCCTCTAATTTTATAATAAAAAATTATAAACATACAGACAAGTTTAAATATATTTATAGTGACCCTATACACTAACCACTTAGATTTTACCATTAACACTTTACTTTCTCTATCATATATCTATCCATTCCCTTATGCATCCATCCCTCTACTCATCTTATTTCTTTATGCATTTCAAAATCAGTTCTAGACATTTGGACACTTCTCCCCTAAATACTTCCACATGCAAATCATTGACTAGAGCTCAGTATTTGTTCAGGTTTTATTTATTTTGAGGTCAACTTTTCATAAAAGAAAACACACAAATCTATGTTTACCTTTCTATGAGTTTTGAGAAGAAGGCACACATGTGAAATTCAAATCCCTATGGAAATACAGCATTTTGCCATCACTCCAGGAAGTTCCCTCGTTTCTTCCCTTTCCCTCAGTGGCAACCACTATTCAGATTTTTTTCCCCACTATGAACTACTTTGGTCTGTTCTAGAAAACCATATAAATGGAATTTCTATGTACACTTTCATGTAAGGTTTCTTTCACTGAGCATAAAGTTTTTGAGATTCATCTGTAATGTTGTATGTATCAATAGTTTGTTCCTTTTATTTCTGAGTAGTACTTCATTCTAGGAATATGCACAAGTTTGTTTATCCACTCTATTTTAGACACTTGGGCTATTTCCAATTACTAGCTATTCTAAATGCTTTGGCTATTATAATTATACTCTACTAATTTTCTTGTTAACTTAATATATCCCTCTCTAATATATCATTACCTACCTGGTTGGGTGAGAAGAGAAAACTTTCAACCAGAGTAACTCATTTACTTTTTCTACTGACCAATTTCAAAAGAATATTACACCTTGCTTAAAACAAATAATAGGTTATTAAAATGTTCTGTGTTCTATGCTAGTTACATTACATGGTGTATTCACTGTGAAACTTCACCAAGTTGCACACTATTGATTTGTGCATTTTTCAATAGATATGTTATACTTAAAGTCTGTTGAAAAAACTATATGAACATTTTCCTAATGGTTTATAAGAGACACTTAACACTTTAGTTTCTATCAAGTGCTTATTAGTACAGGAGTACTCCTTTATCCACGGTTTTGCTTTCTGCTGGTTCAGTTACCCATGATCAACTAAGGTCCCAAAATATTAAAGGAAAAATACCATAAATAAATAATTCATAAGTTTAACCTGTGTGTCGTTCTAAGTAGCATGACGAAGTCTTGCACATTCCTGCCCATCCTCCCCGGGACGTGAATCATCTCTTTGCCAGAGTCCATACTTAAAGGCTACCAGGCCACCCACTCATTAGTCACTAAGTATCCAGTTAAGAACTCTGACTATCCAGTATCTCAGTGCTTGTGTTCAAGAAACATTTTACTTACTATAGGTCCCAAAGTGCAAGAGTAGTGATGCTGACAATTGGGAGATATCAAAAAGAAGCTATAAAGTGCTTTCTTGAAGTGAAAAGGTGAAAAGTTCTCAGCTTAGTAAACTGAGGTTGCTAAGAGGATAACAATAAAAATTCTATCAGTGAAATTGAG